AAAATTGCAGGTGCAAGTGTTGCATTTTGAGGAGAAATTTATTTTGAGCGTACAAAAGCTGAATTTGAGTGAACAAAATTCATTGCTGCGCGCAAAAAACGTATTTCAGTGTTTGCGCTTATCCATATACACACACAATAGCACCCCCTCTCGCTCAGTTTTTTCATTTGCGCTTGCTCGCAATGTGTTGCTTGCGCTCACAACATTCTCTGCTTTGTATGCTCAACTCTCTGTACACTGTTATAAGTGTGCCACAAAACCAACCAATCACAGACTTGGTTTCGAAAATTCTGATTGGCTCTTACGGTCTCCAATCAGCTCGCTAGCTACTGCATTCCGGAAACACTGTCCGAAATGTAGCTAAATCCAGCTAAACTCTATTAAACCCCAATTTGCGGATAATATTTTTAATTATTTTATTTTAAAATATATTATTTTTTAAGACTATTGTTGGTGTAGTATAATGTAGTTGCATCATACAACCATGCCATCTGACTCATTTTTCCAAATTATATTTGAGTAGCTCTCTTTTATGTCGTCGAATACTGAACAGCAGCACGAAAACAGCATGTCCCGGCCACATGTAAGTAATATAAAATCATTTTGTACATTATTATTCGCTTGATAACTGACGTTAGCTAATTTGAAAACTATGCAAACTTGAAAAATGATGTACCTCATGTAGTTTGTTTTATGGGTTGTTTATTTTTGTCTGAGATACATCATTTCATTGTATTTTTCTAATTACTTGTCCATGTTCTTTGCTGCTTTTAACTAATTCACTGCCAGGGTTTTTGAGCATTTTTACTCATTTTTGAAGAGCCACAGAAAACTGTGTGTTATGATCATATAAACGCTGAACCTACCAAAATGAAGAACAGACTCTCTTCTTCCATCCAAAAAAAAAGCTTGTTTCTACCATTTTCCATTCTTTAGTAATCAGCTGTAGAAGAGAGGTGGGTTCCACCAAAAATGCCTGTTTTGACCACAAAAAGGGAGAAAACGAGCTTTTTGTGAAAAATACATTTCAAGCAGTCTGATGTTCACTGACAAGCTGCCCGAGGTTGTATTCTAGCCCCTCCCATTGGAAACGTAATTGACGTCTATAGACGTCAATGGCAGTGAATGAGTTAACAGGACATACTGAGACAGCAAATGATGCATAGACTCCTCTCTAAACTGGAAGCTGCTTTAAACCAACAACCACTAAATCTGGATTATTTGGAGTTCTTGACTCGTCATGAGCTTCTGTTTGAATCTTTCTCTCAGCAAATAGGCGGTCTGTCAGAGATTACCAGTGTTGGGGAGTAACGGAATACATGTACCGCCGTTACGTATTTAAAATACAAAATATGAGTAACTGTATTCTGTTACAGTTACCGTTTAAAAAGGTGGTATTCAGAATACAGTTACTTTGTTGAAATAAATGGATTACACTGCGGTACTTTCCTGTTTCATTTTGTCGCGGGTCAGGCCTGTTTGGGTTTTGTTTGACAGCTACGTTCTGTTGTTCCAGGCGGCAGCGTTACGGTTGCCATGGTTACAGGGCGACGCTCTCTCTCTCTCTGCGACTGTGTGTTTCCTGGGTGAGAGAGCGCCTTTTCGTTGTTGTTGTTGTTGTGCTAAGCTAACAGGCAGAATGCTACAAGCATAGCTCTAAAGAATGTAGCATCATGGGCAGTGTAGTCCGTGATGCAGGGAGAATGGACTGCCATACACGTTATGGGTCTGTAAGCGCGAGGAGGGAGAAAAAGGGGAGTGGAAAGGTACGAGTTGTCATCGAGGAAAAACGGGAGCTGGAAGCATGTAAATATTATAATAACCACTGCAGCCAAACAGAGAGCCTGACGAGTCCAGTTGTAAGTAAGCTATTAAGACTCGACTGTGCACCGTGTTCGTGTTTTCCTCCGAAAACAATAAGTTCCGTTGGAGCAGTCTTTCAACGCCTCTCTCTGTCAAGAAAAGTTGACCCACACAACAAAGTAAAGCTATTTTTCGGCTACGAGCCGACAGGGACCCCGCCGTATTAGTCAGAGGTCCCTTTACTACAGTTCGGAGTCGCGGACGTTCAGTAATAGTAATAAATCACACAGCAATAGTACATTCACGTTGTTGTAAAAAGTATGATAATATATTAAGTAATCCAAAGTATTCAGAATACGTTACTGTCATTGAGTAACGTAACGGAATACGTTACAGAATACATTTTGGGGCATGTATTCTGTATTCTGTAATGGAATACATTTTAAAAGTAACTAGGGTTGCCAACCGTCCCTTAAAAAACGGAATCGTCCCGTATTTAGAAACAAAAGTACACGTCCCGTATTGAGCTAATAAGGGACGCACTTTGTCCCGTAATACAGTGAGAATCAAAAGTAGTCTATAAATGTTTATGGAATTAACGCTTTGTTTGAAAACATAATTCCCAGCCCCTCTCCTGCTTTGTGACCAATGAGCTGACAGCACACTTGTGACAATTCGAGTATGACAATTCAGATTACCGCTCATCTCATTGGTCGAGGAAAGGTCGCTTACGGAGAAAATACTGGAAGACAACAGATGACCACAACAAGAAGCATGGCCAACAGGGAAACAAACGCCGACACTGCGGTGCAAGTCTCGGACGACAGTACACCTAAAGCTGGGCAGACACTGTGCGATTTTTTCAGTCACGTTATTCAGCTCCTGCTCAAACTGCACGATTGACTCGCAGGGGTTAGAAGTTGGTAGGTCACGATGCAGGTCTCACACTATACCGCCCGATGCTCTGATGCGACCTGAGTGCTCACACTGTGCCTCCATAAAATGAAGGTTATAACAGAAATCGCTCTCCCTCTCTGTCTTTCACTCACACAGACACACCACCACCATCAACTTTGCTAAATTGCTAATGAAAAACATTAATCAGGCAGCTGTGATTGAGCATTTTCACGGTTGTTGTGGTCGTGATAATTTTGTGATGCCACATCGAAAAGACTCGGATGAGCTTTCCAAAGTTCTACAAGTTGTGCCTCCATCGCTTGTGTCCAGATCAGACGCTGCACAGCCGTGCTGCTCCGTCTTTTTCACCGACGTTTACGTGTTTGCACGTGAGCAGCGTGAGCAGCTGTGGTGACACCCTCACGAGCGATTGATGATCGGGAGCTGGTCGTGAGGTATTAATTGCTTCTCGTTACCCCACGTATACTACACGATGCACGATGAAGGCCAAAATCGGGCCGATCACCAAATCGGTCGCACGACTCAAAAATCGTCTCAAAATGGGCCAAAAGTCGCACAGTGTAAGCCCAGCATTAGAGCAGCAATGTTTGTTCCCCTCAGAGAAAGAAAAAAAGGGCTGCAAAAGTACAGGGAGGAATGGGAAAAGGAAAACACCTGGCTGGGAAAATGCACGATAACACCTATAAAGCGCACTGCACTGTGTGCCGGCGCACTTTTTCCATAGGCATGCTCCTAAGGATGGGCACATGAAGAACATGAGGGGCGTGAAAGCTCGGGGAACCCTTAACCAATTTCTTGTCCACCAGGCCACGGCAGAAGCAGATATGGTATGTAAACACTGGTTTGTGTTTTTTTTAAACCCTCTGGTTAAGGTTAATATGGGCATGTGCAGTGAATATCAGCGCTATGTGGCCAGAAGTGTGATCTCCAGTGTTTCCTCGGAGGGCGCTCTCTGCACTGGGGCTGTTATTGACCGTGGCTGCTGGGTCTCTGGGGTCCTCTCAGCCTGGCTGGGGGGCTCCTTTGCCTCCCTCCTGCTGTGTGCCCTGCTGTGAGCGGTCTGTGACCGGCTCCCGGTGCAGACGGCTCCCTGTTATAGTGTTGGCTCATGCGAGCCCAGCCCAATTTTTACTCTTTAAGTGTGCGCGTGTGTGTATGTGTGTGTGGGTGGGGGGATATATGTGTATTGAGAGTGTGGGGAGTGAGTTGGAGGGTGGGGTGGGCTGCTTTTAACTATGTAAAGCACTTTGTGCTACATTTTCTCTGTATGAAAAGTGCTTTATAAATAAAGATTGATTGATTGATTGATTGATTGATAATATCATTTATTTTGTGTAATAAACAACTGCAAGGATAGATGATTACAACAAATAGATGACTAATACATAAAAGTAATACATAGATGAATGATGATGATGAGTTATGTGTAATCATGGGAACAAGTGGGTTTACAAACAGGAGCAGCTGATTAGCATTAGAAAAGCTGAAATAATACCTCAACTGAAGCCAATTGTACTAAATGCACTATATGTGCACTGTTACAAGAATATTTTTCGTTCTATTGCTTTCTATTAATTTATATAATTTTAAGTTAAGCAGGACAGAGTTCTTTTAAAGAAAGATTTACTTATATTCTCAAAAGTTAAGCATGACAGGCTTCTGTTTAAGAAAGAGACCTGTTTTACTGTGTTAATGTTGTCATTTTGAGCTAAAAAATAAATGGCTAAATGATCATTTGTTTCCCATATGGTCATATCACAAAGAATATGCATCTGCTCAAATCAAATTCAAGTCAAATGGTTAAAAAATAATTTCACACACAAAAAAAAAAAGAGCTACCACACTGGGAAGGGTGAACTGGGTTGCCACGAGGTGTCCCTTATTTATTTTTCAGGGAGTTGGCAACCCTAAAAGTAACCTTCCCAACACTGGAGATTACAGAGGCTCTACAAAACGTTCATCATCTGGTTCAGTGTTAAATTAATCAGCTCTGTGGCCATTATTGAACTGGAAACAGAAGTTGATCTGGGACCTGGCCACCCCAAAATTGTACTAGAGAGAGAAAAACTCAAGAATTTGTTGGACATTCAGCTGCCAGTCAGCTGCATTGCTAAATGTCTTGGTGTTTCAAGAAGAACAATCTACAGGAGGATGCAAGAATTTGACTTGTCTGTGAGAGGAACATACAGCACAATGAATGACCAAGACCTGGACAACATCATATCGGCTATCAAAAATCAGATGCCAAATGGTTCAAGGACATTTGGTTTCTATGGGTCTCCGTGTTCAGTGGTGGAGAATGATGGCCTCCATGCATCGAGTTGATGCTGTAGGGATCTTCAAACGGATCACAGAACTAGGCTGTGTTGTGCGAAGAAGCTACTCGGTGCGAGGCCCTCTCTCCCTGGTCCACATAGACACAAATCACAAGCTAATAAGGTAAAATACCCACTTATATAGCTCTAACACAAGTTGGGCAGAAAGATGCACGTTATACTTTAAATCTGCTTTAATCAACCTTATCTGATAGGTCTTTCAGTGTATTTATAATATTTTAAAAAGCACTTGATAGAGTAATATTAAGTAAAAGGATTACAGGATGTGTAACAAAACCAGTAATATTGTTAATTGTAAATTTTCTTGAGCAATTATTTACACTTTGTATATCGATATTTTCCATGATAACAAGCCTATCAACACATAATATGTTAAGTGCTCCAGAAAACTTAAAAAAAAAATCATGACAAGAGAACTAAAGTATTTAGTCTCATTGAACTTATAAACATATAAAAATGTTGGTATTATTTTCAGCACACCTGACAAGTGTCCAGTTTAAGTCAGTGGCAAGTGTGCATACTGAAAAATGTATTTTCAATGTCTTACATGTTCTGCAAATCAAGCCTTAGTGAGATTGTTTTCCCTCTGAAACAGGTACAATGTTGTGATCTTTGGTGGAGTGGATGGCTACTCAAGGAAGGTAAAATTTTAACTGTTATGTAGAATATCCTGTCTTCCTTCTCTCACCCCAACCGGTCGCAGCAGATGGCCACCCCTCCCTGAGCCTGGTTCTGCCGGAGGTTTCTTCCTGTTAAAAGGGAGTTTTTCCTTCCCACTGTCGCCAAAGTGCTTGCTCATAGGGGTCATATGATTGTTGGGTTTTTCTCTGTATCTATGAAGCGCCTTGAGGCGACTTTTGTTGTGATTTGGCGCTATATAAATAAAATTGAATTGAATTGAATATTTGGTAGTTTTGAAATGAGAGCTTTATTAGGTTATTTTTTATGAACATCAATTATTCAGCAAGCCAACATAGTGGACGATTAGCAATTTATTTTTTAAATTTATAATCAGTTCTTTACAAAAAAAGGTGATAAGTACTACCAATATTGATGTATAGACTACTCAAGCTTTGAATTATGGTTATGAACATAGAACCGTACCATATTCCTTGAACACTTATTATGAAACTGCATTATTAACTGAAAAACTACACATCATCTGAAACCAGATCTTTAATTTTCCATTTGTTTTTACTGCAGGTCCTGTACTTGGATGCAGCAACTAACAACAGGGCAAAAACTGCATTGATTTGAAGCATGAAATACCTGAAATCCAAATTCAAATGTATTTACAGAGTAGAACGACTTTGGCGTGATGTCTGGATTGCAGTCACTAGCAAGTACCATGATATTCTTCACTCACTCGAGGAGGATAGTAGTATCCTATAGTATTGTGTATATATACATATACACAATACTATAGGTGTCATGAACCGAAGTTCAGCGCACAAGCTGGACCTAGAAGCAGAGCCAACACACACAGGAGTACGAGAAAATAAACTTTATTTTAACTGAAGGTGTCCCGGGAGGGTAGAAGGAAAACGCGTGAAACTAGAGAAACCAAGGGACCGGGAGATGAGTCGCGCAGGAACGCCGAAAACGGGACTGTGAGAAGGCTGCAACAGAAAAAGGAAAAGCATTATTGGGGCGCGGGGAAATAGCAGCATACGTGGGGGAAGAGTATGAGTCTTACGGTGACAGCGGGGCCGTGGGAGCCGGAGGGAGGGTCCGCGGGGGAGCTCCAGGAAAGTCGAGGTGGCGAGTACTGAAGGCGATCCAAATTCCAGACGGGCAGGAGGGACAGGCAGGTGGCTCAAAAAAACACGCCGAGTTGTTATCTGAGTGCACAGGACAGAATTAGCGCTAGTTCGGACAGATGAGTTTTCACAATCGCTTTCCCGTAGGTGTACGTTACCGCTGTGAGACGACTACGGACTGGCGTGGAGCAGCAGGCTGGGCTGGATCAAATAGTCCACCTGATGATTGCCTGGGATGGGGTGCAGGTGTGGAGTTAACAGCCACGCCCGTGGGCGTGGGCATCCCATCAGCTCCTCGGACGCCGGGCCGCGGACCATGACAATAGGTATATACAGCTCATCATAATGAAATCAGCATCTGGCTGTAAATAAGGAAATAAAGTAGGTTATATTTTAGATATATTGTTCATTCAAAACTAATAAATAAATACAGGATAACTACAATACAGATAAGTGGACTGTCTTTGGATCAGACTGAAGCTGCTATGTTAATACTTACTTTGAGGATTTTCCCAGGAACAAACAAACTGTGGCAAGCTTCAGGATTTACAGCCATCAGGTTCACAAGACCATACAGTTCCATGCCCTTTCGGAGCTGCTGTAGCTTTGGAATCAGTCTTGTTGTAGAGTGTAAGACAATGGCACTTAAAAAAAACAAACAAAAAAAACAAAATGAAAAAGTAGTTGGGGATGGGGGCGTGGGTTAATGATCTCTCTGATTTTTTCTCTCTTACCGGATCATGCTTTCCTTACTATCCATCTTTATCTGGTTTGTGTATCCACAGTTGACAATTTCATCAGCCCACATCATCAGAGACTGTATGTCTGCTGCATCTTCAACCTGGAAATGTATAATGTGAAAGAGGAAATACAGAAGGTTAAAAGTGTTTAAAAACACCATACTCATAATATATCATGTGCCAGAGCTAAACCAGGCGCTCACTTTGCGGATGAGCAGGGAAGATTCCACATCTGCAACATCCTCCTTAGACAGACAGCTGAAATCAACCTCTCCTGAGCAGAGGAAATTGTAGCACCATTCTTTGAAAAAGGCAGGAGATGGGCCTCCTTGGGCGAGGCTGACTACAATTATTTCACCAACAGTTCTGTGTAGACAAATGATTATAATTCATTTTCAGGTAACATTTACAAAAATATCGGATGCGTATTAAATGTAATACACAAAGCTCGTATGGACTGCGGACTATAACGGACTATAAACGACCAGCTTCTTCAATGATGAATGCCGATGCTTCACTGGCTGATGAGCTGAACACGTTTTATGCTCGCTTCGACGCCGCAGCAATTAAAACAACAAACGGCTGCGCGCGCTCGGAGTGCACCAGTGAAGAAAATGCATTCGTCATCACAGAGCATGCCGTGAGGAACACCTTCAGGAGGGTGAACACCAGGAAGGCAGCAGGACCAGATACAATCCCTGGCCGGGTCCTTAGAACCTGCGCTGATCAACTAGCACCGGTGTTCACGGAGATCTTCAACCTCTCCCTGGCCCAAGCTGTGGTTCCCATGTGCTTCAAACGGTCCATTATTGTCCCTGTTCCAAAGAAACAACAGCCCGCTTGCCACAATGACTACCGTCCAGTAGCACTGACTTCAATTGTGATGAAGTGTTTTGAAAGACTGATGAGAGATCACATCACTTCTTCACTTCCTCCCACCATCGACTCACTTCAGTTTGCTTACCGGACTAATCGTTCCACAGACGATGCCATATCTCACCTGCTCCACACATCCCTGAGTCACCTGGACACTGGCAGAGGGAATTATGTTAGGATGCTGTTCGTGGACTACAGTTCAGCATTCAACACAATAATTCCCTCTAAGCTTTTCACCAAGTTGACGGATCTAGGACTCAGCTCATCACTGTGTCAGTGGATCCTCAACTTCCTCACAGACAGACCCCAATCAGTGAGGGTAGGAAAACAAGTCTCCCCCTCCATCTCACTCAGCACTGGAGTGCCTCAGGGCTGTGTTTTAAGCCCCCTGCTGTACTCACTGTACACTTATGACTGTGTAGCTACATCCGACACCACCTCCATTGTCAAGTTTGCTGACGACACTGCTGTTGTGGGCCTGATCTCCGACAACATCGAGACGGCCTACCTGGAGGAGATTAGGAACCTGGAGACCTGGTGCCAGGAGAATAACCTCCTCCTAAACATCAGCAAGACTAAGGAGCTGATCGTGGACTTCACTACAAAGCAGGCGAGGAATTACAAACCCCTCATCATCAGTGGCACGCCAGTGGAGAGAGTGGACAGTTTCCGATACCTGGGTGTCCACATCACTCAGGACCTGTCATGGTCCTGTCACATCAACACCCTGGTTAAGAAAGCCCGTCAGCGTCTCTTCTTCCTCAGAAGACTTAGAGACTTCCATCTGCCACTGAAGGTGCTCAAGAACTTCTACTCCTGCACCATCGAGAGCGTCCTGACGTCAAACATCTGCACCTGGTTTGGGAACAGCACCAAGCAGGACAGACGAGATCTGCAAAGGGTGGTGCATCAGAGCTCCCTGACCTGCTGTCCATCTACACCAAGCGGTGCAAGTCCAAAGCTAGGAAGATTATGATGGACCTCTCCCATCCCAACAATGGACTCTTCTCACTGTTGAGGTCTGGGAAGCGCTTCCGCTCCCTTAACCCTTTACAGCCGATCGGAGCGGGCACGCTCTGTTTTGCGTAACTATTTTTAAATCCCGGTAGCTCTGCAACCAAGTAAGCTAGCGCAATAATTTTTTTTGCATATGAAACTGGAGGAGTTGTACTTACATCTTATGCCATCAGCTTGTCCTAGGTCACAGTTTCCTTCCACATATAGCTTTGCAAAAACTGCATAAAAATCACTTGCAGCAACAAAAACATGATATTCCAGAAACACGCTTCGCCGATCCATCAGCTGTTTGTAACACTTCCTACGTCCATCAGCGCGAACTATCACATGACCGCATGACCTGCCCGAAACCGGAAGTGACGTCATTTTGCGGAAATGTAGTTTTTTACGATCGGGGCCTTATGAGCTTGTGTTTTACTTGTTATGTGTTTTAAAAAGTTATGTTTGACTTTATGACTTTCTGTGTCGTTTCTGGGATGCTTAAGACTCATATTGCACTGCTGGAAATAGTTTATTTTGATGCATATGCTGTTATTTTGCAAATTTGCACTATAATATTTATTTTCGTTTTTCCTGCAGTATATAAAAATTGGTGTATTTCAAAAATAAAACTATGAAGACACTCAAAATAAATTTCCTGTGGTGGGAAACTAGTTTGTGTAACTTTTTTGTATTTACAGTTTTGAGGGATAAGCCTCTTAAATTTCTCTAACTAGAAATATATGTTAAAAAAACAAAAACGATTTTCAATTTTTTTGTAGTTTATTGCACTTTTTTGCAATTTATGTAATTACTATGCACCTAATGCAGACATATTATTAAAGTTTGGGCTATAATGGCCGCAGGCCCACCACCCGCAGGAGGCGCCATAGGGGTCGGGTGGGTGCATTGTGAGCTGGGTGGCGGCCAGGAGCGGAGGCCCTGGCGGACCGACCCCCGGCTGCCAAGACTGGCAATAGGGACATGGAATGTCACCTCTCTGGTGGGGAAGGAGCCTGAGTTGGTGCGTGAGGTTGAGAGGTACCGGCTAGATATAGTTGGGCTCACCTCTACGCATTGTCTGGGCTCTGGAACCAGTCTCCTGGAGAGGGGCTGGACTCTGTCTCAGTCTGGAGTTGCCCCTGGTGAGAGGCGGCGGGCTGGGGTGGGTATTCTTATATCCCCTCGGCTTGCTGCCGGTACCTTGGGGTTTTTCCCGGTGGACGAGAGGGTTTGTTCCCTGCGCCTTAGGGTCGGGGAACGGGTCCTGACTGTCATCTGCGCTTATGCGCCGAGTGGCAGTTCGGAGTACCCAGCCTTCTTAGAGTCCCTGGGGGGGGTGCTGGAAGGTGCTCCACCTGGAGACTCTGTTGTCCTGCTGGGAGACTTCAATGCTCACGTGGGTAACGACAGCGAGACCTGGAGGGGCGTGATTGGGAGGAACGGCCTCCCTGATCTGAACCCGAGCGGTGCTTTGTTATTGGACTTCTGTGCTAATCACAGTTTGGCCATAACGAACACCCTGTTCGAACATAAGAGTGTCCATAAGTGCACGTGGCACCAGGATGCTCTAGGCCGTAGGTCGATGATCGATTTTGTAATCGTATCACCAGACCTGCGACCATATGTTCTGGACACTCGGGTAAAGAGAGGGGCTGAGCTGTCAACTGATCACCACCTGGTGGTGAGTTGGATCAGGTGGCGGGGGAGGACGCTGGACAGACCTGGTGCACCTAAACGCGTAGTGAGGGTGTGCTGGGAACGTCTAGCAGAGGCCCCAGTCCGCGAGATCTTCAACGCACACCTCCGGCAGAGCTTCAACAGCATTCCGAGGGAGACTGGGGACATTGAGTCCGAATGGACCAT